TTTGAGGCTTTTTCCTAACTGCTAATTGATGTAGGAGGGCCCAGCTCCCTGTGGGTTCTGTCATCCCCAAGCAAGAGGCCTGGACCGTGTAAGAAAGCTAACAGTAGGCGTCCGTATCAGGAATAAGCACGCTGTTGCCTCTTGTTCTCTGCACACTGACCAGTTGTGGGTTTCTGTGTTAATCACCATCTGCTGCACAAGGAAATTTCTCTGGTGAGAGTTGAGAGATGCATTCTTCCTATGAGTAGAGGTTGCACTGAAGATTGGTTACTTAGGGCAAAGCATCTCACACACATTTGGGGACACAAGTCAGACTCTATTTGCCACATTATGTATATAATAGAACATATAAATTAAATTAGGCAGGTGCAGTAAAGGGAGGTACAGATAGGAAGGGGTATCTAAATATCAAATTATATGAAACTTGCAAACATTTCTTAAAGAACGGGAAGCTAGCAAGCCAGTAAGCAGCATTCCTCTGTGGTTTCTGCTTCAAGATCCCGCCTTGAGCTCCTGCCTTGGCTTTTCTTGACGATGGACTGTAACCTGCAACACGAAATAAACACTTTCTGCCCCAACTTGGTTTTGAATATGGTGTTTACCATAGCACCGGAAATCAAACTAGGACAGGAAGGGCCATAAAGTTCCTATAAACAGCTACACAGTGTGGCCAGCTGCTTTTTGGATTCTTTCTTCAACTCACTATTTCCATCCTCAAAAGAGTTCCTTTCTTAAAAAGCTGTCATTGTTTCTATTTCTAACTACGTGTCCCTGGCGTAGCCCTTTGCCCTGGGACACGAGTCTGGGCTCAGACACCCTCTGAAGTCTGATCTATTACTCAGCACTTCTAAGCATCTTTTCCTTGAAGCTCCGCTTTCTCACTGTTCCTCAGACCTCCATGGTTAAATCCAAAGGCATGACTTTATCTCCCTCCTCCTAGCGGCTGCTAGGGTTTTCAGATTCCCTGTGCTGTTGGTTTCCTCTCAAAAGTCTAATAAAATTGTCCTCGAGTTTCCTTCTGATTCTGTTCTACGATTGTTTCATTGGTGAAATTAACAACCCGAAAAGGTAAACTAGAGTTTCACCAGTAACAATACACTGCATTAAAAAGATTGGCTCTGCCCCTCCCCCTACACATCCTTGATGGCCTCCAGGGCAGGTTTTGGTACTGGCAGCAAGTGTCTGGAGAGCACGGGGTGCCCACCACACAGATGCAGGCAGCAGTGTCATCGCGCAGGCAAGTTGCGATGTGCAGGGTGCTGAGCCTAGCAGCCACATCCAGAGTTGCTGAGAACCTTCCATTCGACTTTTTGTTCTCTTGGTAAGTCATGATTGCCAGGGGTACAGGGCTTCTTCGTCTGTCCTGTTTGTCTCATCTTAAGTTGTTAAAGGGGCTCACGGTGTAATTGCATTGAAGAGTGCAGTTCTCTCCCCGCAGGACAGTCAGGGACCCAGGACGCTGCTCCACCTGGGTCTTGCCACTCACCCCTATTAGGAAAGTGATGTGAAAGTCAAGAAATCAGTCATCGAGCTTCCAAGGTGCGTCCTTCTCACTCCTCACGTCAACCTCGGATAATCCAGAGATAGGCCCATTTTCTTCCCACCTCCTGCCCCCAAGAGACAACACCTCTTCCCCAAATCCTAAGAAAATGCTCCTTGACTTCCTGTGACCACCTGCCTAAAACTCTACAGTAGCTTACAACAAAAATACAGCCATGAAACCACCAAGGAGGCGATCAGATGCGTCTCCGTTGCTGTTCTACAGAAATCTGCCCTTTAGGGCCTCCTTAGTTGAGCACCTTATCTTCCAGGTAACTTTGAACACAGAAGCATGGCCAGCCAATCAGAGACTAGGTGTAGCTACAGACAATGTAAACACTGCCATCTTGGGGTCAGAGCTCAACTTGCTCAGTGGGTGTTTTGCTGTTTCCTCTTCTCTGTTTTGATACAGGATATAAACTCATCTCCCAGTTAACCAAAAGAAAGAAAGAGCACCTCCAAATCAACAAAATCAGAGATGAAAGGGGAAACATCATAACAGACACCAGAAAGACACAGAACATATAAAGGGAATACTTTAAAAACCTATACTCTATTAATTATGAAAAATTGCACACTTGATGCAGGTTGGTGAACCAAAATATGCAGACACCTTAGAAGTTAATAAAATGAGCTACCCATTCAAGTAAGTCAAACCCCTGAACAGACATTTTACCAAAGAATATGTACAAATGGCAATCTCATGAGAAGATGTGCCCTGTCACCCATCATCAGGGAAATGCAAATTAAAAAGAGCAAAGTGGCACTAACACACCTATGAGAATGGGCGAAGCAGAATGAGGCAACACCAGCTCCTGGTGACGGTGTGGAACAACAGGAACTCTAAGGCCAGTGGGGTCGCAAAAGCACAGCTGCTCTGGAAGACAGTTCAATAACTTCTTTCAAAGTCTTCCCATGTGACTTAGCGCTCATGTTTCCTGGAATTCACTCCAAGTAATTGAACCTATAGGTTCCCACAAAAACCTTCACAGTGATAGGGGCGCTTTATTCATAACTGACAAAATTAGGAAGCAAGCATTAGGCCTCTCTGGAGACGAGTTGATAAATAAATATGCAACCTCCAGAAAGAGAAATACTATTGAATAAAGGAGGCATGAAGGGCATGGGAATAATTATTTCGTGAATACCCATGGCTGTTCATGGGGACAGGAGTCTTTCTTGAGACCCATCTTTGCTCCCTGTGTTTTGAACACCAGCGTGTGTCTCCCATCTGATTTACTAAGAGCTCATCTGCACAATGAGCATCTGTCCCATTCAGTGCTTTCCACTGTTGCTGCACATAAGATTCTGTTCACATGAGGGGCAACCTCTCGGCCATTCCCTTCTTCTTCATTAAGAATTCTGAGGGTCTTTTCAAGGAGGAAGGGCTGAGCACTCCTGTCTCCTTTTCTACCACATTTTCAGGGTCTTATGCACAGTTGGTTATCTGAATAAGGTTAAGGATGTGGGTCAGGAGTAGAGCCCTTTGTAACAAACATGGGCTCTGGGTTTCATCCACCAGCACTGCAAAAAAATAAAGTTAAATAAGTTACAGCAATGACCATAGATACCATTTGGTTGTTTAAGTGATTTATGCAATTATGTGACTTGATTTGAGAATGTTTTTATAAGTTTCCCCAACCAGAGATGCACCAGGGCACACAGCAGACCTCTGAAGCCAGTCATCACAGAGGCAGATGCTCAACAGCTGGACAGGCTGTTTGCACTCAGTTTGTGCTCAGCTCTTCCTGAGGTTTCTGCCACTGTGTCACTCATAGCACAGTAGTACACAGCCGAGTCTGACACGTGGACCGCGTCTTTCTGCAAGTGGAAGGAAGTAGTTCCTTTACTGTATGTGGCTTCAAAACCTTTGCTGCTTCCCCTCTCTTCATCCCTGAGGGCTTTCAGGAGGAGCTGCGGGCCTTCTCCGGGATACTGAATATACCAAAGAAGAGCAGGGAACGCTATCACTGTGGTTGAATAAGTGCAGTTTATTGTCAGGGGACTTCCTTCTGGGATGCTGATTTGGCCTCTTATTTGGGTCACAGAGTCTCCATGGGTCTTTCCTAGAGCACGGGGTGGGAAAGAAGAGAAGGAGAGAGAGAAAGAATGTGTCACCTTGGAAATAAAGCTCTGACCTTTATGGATAAAGATGTTTCCGGTATCATGGGAGAAAGAGTCAAATTTTTGAAGTCATTTTACTTACCAAGTATGAAGAGTATCACCATCACTGAGCCTGGAGACGCATTCATCTTTAGAGTGTCACCTAAGTAATGTTCTTGGTTTTAAACACAACGAAATAAATGCGGCTGTCATAGAGAAATGATGAATCTGCTCAGCCTACAAATCACATGGGAAATGAACGTGTGTTGGGAAACTGCACCCCCTGGAGGACAGGAACTGAACTGCAGATGAAAGTTCTGATCTGAAAGTCAAAAGATTGTCCTCCTCACTGACTTCATTGATAAGGCACATGTCAGTCTTCAGAGGATCCTTGTCAATCTAAAAGCAGCCGTCATAGCTCCTTAGGTTTTCATTATAGATTGATGTTCTAAGGACTCTGTTAAAAATACCTTAGGAGAGCATCCCAACGCCTTTGTAGTTCAGATTTCCATTATACATCGTTCCACGGGCTTTACGCATTTGTGCATCTCTTACGATCCAACTGCAGTTCTCTGAAATGCCATGAAAGCACTTCAGGAAGTAAGGAAGCCAGCTCATGCTGGATGGTCCTGTTTTTCAGAACAGTTCCCAACCTCTAGGGCAGTGAGTGACATTTACAAGGTACCAGTGCATATTGGGTAAATAAAACAAAAATAAAGAATAACCAGTATGGGATGCAGGATCACTAGTACTTGAAAGACCATGCTTCATTCCTCTGTTCTAAAATAATACAAATTTTGGACTGGAGAGATGGATCAGCAGTTAAGAACACTGACTGCTCTTACAGAGGGCCTGGGTTTGAGTCCCAGCACCCAGATGGCAGCTAACAACCATCCATAACTCCAATTCCAGTTCTGACCTCTCTGAGCATTTCATGACACGGGTGCACTTACACACATGCAGGCGATACACTCATACACATAAAATAAAAATAAATAATATTATCTTTTCAGATTATCTAATCAAGATTCAAGTACTCTTAAATTTCAGAATCACTGAAAATCAAAAACTATGAGTCTTACACAGAACACTCTCCATAACTTGATAATTGAATCCTTCTAGAATGATCTGACATCTATGTCTTATTTGCCCCCTAGTTTCATGACTTCAAAATAAGAGTACCAACTATGTGAATCAGACAATTGCTGATCCTGTTCTCCAGTGGAGACCCTGCAGGAAGGATGCTTTTCACATCACTGAGGTCTTAGCCCAGTGTGTTTTCTGACACTCACTGTCCACAGATTTAGATGAAGGAGCTCACGAGTCCAGCATCAACCTGTGAAGCTCCCTGGTCCAGAATTAACCTGTGAGTAGTTTCTTGGATACAGACTAAGTAACAAGTTCAAGGCCTGATGTTGTTTGAGTTCATGTCTCCCTTCTCCGTCTCTTCCACATTACAAGTCACTGTCAGAACTTGATCCAGACCTGTGCTAAACGGAAATTATGAGAAGTCAGAAATAAAATTCTATTCTTAGATATGGCAACAAAATGAAAATCTGAACAATATTGGGTCATTTCCTTTTCAGAGAATGAAGAATTCTAGAGATGGATGGTTGTCCAACAATATGAAAGTACTCAATAATACTTAACTGTACACTTCCATTTTTTATTAGCAATTTTTAAATTTATTACTTGAGAATTTCATACATGTAAACTATGTGTTTAGGTCACAAAACCGCCCCCCTGCTCCCTCCCTTTCAATGCTTCCCGCATCACTCCACCTTATATATTTTGAAGTGGTAAGCTTTATATTTGTACATTTTATCACAACTTAACACACGTATAAAAGTTGCGAATGGAGAACCAAGAATGGGAGAAGAGCAGAGCGTCTGACTGCACATCAATCTCCTCCCTGCCCTCCTCCTGGCCCTCATGGCCTGTCCAGCCACCTGTCCACCCGCCACCCAGAACACCTTCCACTGTGGCCACCTCAGCAGGTTCGTACTTGAACAAAGGCATCAAGCAAATGTGTATGTCCCTGCCTCAGGGTGAGAGAGTCCAAGCCAAGTATGTCTAGATCGATGGTACTGGGAAGGACTGCGCTGCAAGACCAGCACTCTGGACTGTGAGCCCAAGTGTGTGGAAGAATTACCTGAGTGGAACCTTGATGGCTCTAGTACTTTTCAGTCTGAAGGCTCCAATAGTGACATGTATCGCATCCATGTAGCCATGTTTCCGGACCCCTTCTGCAAAGACCCCAACAAGTTGGTGTTCTGTGAAGGTTTCAGGTATGACCAGAAGCCTTCAGAGACCAATTTACTGCACACCTGTAAATGGATAATGGACATGGTGAGCAGCCAGCACTCCTGGTTTGGAATGGAACAGGAATATACTCTCATGGGAACAGATGGGCCTCCTTTTGGTTGGACCTCCAATGGCTTCCCTGGGCCTCAAGGTTCATGTTACTGTGGTGCTGGGGACGACAAAGCCTATGGCAGGGAAAGTGTGGAGGCTCTGCCAGGCCTGCTTTATGCTGGTGTCAAAATCACGGGGACAAATGCTGAGGTCATGCCTGGCCAGTGGGAATTCCACATTGGGCACTGTGAAGGAATCCACATGGGAGACCATCTCTGGGTGGCCCATTTCATTTTCATCATGTATGTGAAGACTGTGGAGTGATAACAACCTTTGATCACAAGCCCATTCCTGGGAACTGGAACGGTGCAGGCTGCTATACCAACTTCAGCACCAAGGCCATGCGGGAGGAGAATGGTCTGAAGGATACTGAGGAAGCCATTGAAGACCAAGCAAGGGGCACCAGCACTACATTCACGCCTACGATCCCAAGGGGGCCTGGACAATGCCCGACGTCAGACTGGATTCCACAAAACCTCCAACATCAACATCAGCGACTTTTCTGCTGATGCCAACCGTGGCACTAGCATGCGCATTCCTGGACTGTCGGCCAGGAGAAGAAGGGTTACTTTGAAGACGGCCGCCCTTCTGCCAATTGCGACCCCTTTGCGGTGACAGAAGCCATCATCCGCACGACTTCTCAATGAGACTGGAGATGAGCCCTTCCAGTGCAAAACCTAAGTGGACTAGACTTCCAGCGATCCATCCAGCCCTTCCTAGCTCTTTATCCCAGGGCTCTCTTCTCTCTTCCAGGTGTCCTAATCATCCCCGTTATAACCTACCAGGAAGAAGAGCAAAGGTTTTTATTCCTCTTGCCTAGTCAATCTTGCTTTCATCGGTCAGGATAATGGGGTCAAGTTCTTCATCACTACACACACAGTCCCATTTTTTTTCCTAGCACTGAAGTTTTCTAATGCTAGTGGGCTGGGGTGGGGGTAGGGAAAGGTACCTACTGCTTCTATCCTGTCAGGTGTGTGTGTCCAGTAGGTGTGGCTGTCTGCACAAAGCAGGTGTGTTTTTGAAGGAGAGGGAGGACATTTGCTTCTTCAGGGTAGCTGACAGGGCAGGTCTGCCTGTTTAGGTTGGCATTTCCACTATTGGTGCCAAGCTATCATTTTTTAAGGTCAAACCAACTTTATTCCAAATGGAAGTTAAGGTGGGGGAAGAGGAGCTGGAGGTTAGTCTCCTGTGCCATGTTTTCTTTGCTTGGGGCCACATGCCCTCCATGATCACAAGCTCAACACATAACCTGATGGATAACCCTACTTTAAAGGAAGAAAAAGTTCTTATTTCCTGGTCCACCATTTATAACACAAAGCAGAATAGTGTTTTTATATTTAAATGTAAAAATAAAAAATTTATACACACATGGGTGTGTGCATATATTTGCTTTTCTAAAGGAGGAAATCATCCTAATCACAAGGTGAAGAGACTGGTTTAGAAATAAGGATCTCCTTTTGAGTAGGGGTGAGGAATACAGTACTCAAAAGTTGGTTATCTGGGGCTCTGGTCCTATATTACCATGTAACAGTTTCACTGCCCACTCTTCTGCAGGGCAGACGCTGGACGCTTGACGGGTAGATGCACCCTTGCAGTCACCTGAGCCCCATGACGCTTGACAGGTAGATGCACCCTTGCAGTCACCTGAGCCCCATGCTTAAGTTTAGAAGATGTGTACTTTGTCCACACATGGGTTTAGAAGTATGAGTTTGCTGGTCAAAATGGACATTGTTACTTACAAGGGAGTATTGGGGGTACTGGGGTTATTTTTGGGGTGGGACTAGCATATCACTAAAGCAGGCATTTTGATACATTAAATTTTTTAAAGCAAAAAAAAATGTGAACATTGTTTCCTTTGAAGGTTTCAAGCCCCACCTAGGCTTTCCAGCCTCAAGCCTGAGAGATACAATACAGGATCATTTATTAGACAAACTCTCATTCTAAATTTGAGGGTGAGAAAGTAGGGTTAGAGGTGGAAGGAGAAAGTCACAGAGAGTGAGCATTCAGGGTTGTGGAGCATTTATTATTGTGACAGACCTGGGGCTGTGCAACGCCATCCACACAACAGTCCTAAAGTCTCAGAAAGGAGGGGCGATGTGAAGGATAATATCAGGGAAGGGGAACTCATGTTTTCCCTTTTACAGTGAACTTCTAAGAAACAGCAATCATTGATTTATGGGTAGGATTGGCATGGATCACGCATATTTCCATGTAGAAAATGAACTCTTCCATGCTAGAGATTATAATGAGGCTGCAACATAGAATTAGTTTCCAGCACAAAGTGTGTTACAGTATGGACAGTCAATGAATTTTTTAGTAAACAGATACAGAAGAGAATTTTTAAAGTCCTGTTGTATTATTTGTTAAGACATTTCTGCTTTTTAAATTGTTGACATAAATATTTTCATTTCTATTCAAGACTGAGCACTTTATTGTAACATCTTTTAAAATGTTGTCTTCAGCCGGGCTTGGTGGCACACACCTTTAATCCCAGCACTCGGGAGGCAGAGGCAGGCGGATCTCTATGAGTTCGAGGCCAGCCTGGTCTCCATTAGTGAATCCAGGCCAGCCGAAGCTACAGGGAAATCTTCTCTCAAAAAGACCCCCTCAAAAAAATGTTTTCCTAAAATTAGGCTAGCTTAATCAATAAAGAAAATCTAATGGTATAGTTTCATTGCAAATCGTCTGCACTTTGAAAGCCAGCTACATAACCACATATGATTTGCAAATAACTGTTTTTGTACTTGGTCTACCAGCAAATATTAAGATAAGATAGAAAATTCAATTTTAAAACGTATGAACACCAATATGTAGGATTCAATTTAGGATCTTAAATTTAAGACAAAGGAAACAAACTTTAAATTTTAATTTCAGA